GGAGCACACCGGGCTTCAGCACTGTAGGATCTGAGCTCTAAAAGCCTCTATACCATAAGCCCCTAGATGAACAATCAGGATTTATACATTTGATATATATATATATATATGACATGCACCACTTGTGTGGAGAGGAACATCAGCCCATTTCTACGTCTTCTTCCCTGTCCTGCTGCAATCTTCTCAAACAGTACCTCCTTCTATGTGCTTTCTACCCTGCCCAGTGTCTCCTTGTGTACCTCTATGTTAAGGTTTTGGATGATGCTGTAATCAAACTACTGAATCATAAATCTCAGTTATCTTTTCTCTAGAAACCATTTAAAGTCACATCCTAGTGCAGGAGGGTCTCTAAAGCTCTTAGTTATAACTGACCCTTACTCATGGATGTAACGAGAAAGATCAAAGTTACAGCCTGGCTTCAAAAAGATTCCCTGCAGGAACAGAAACCTGGGAGATTTTGCAAGGAGTTTTGTGTGAGGTATAGTTAAATTCACCTCTGCTCTGAAAAAAAAGTGACCTTGTGAAAATAGCTCCATGTTTATTGCCATTTCATCAAACAGGCATAGCTCACAAACAAAAAGATGGCTTTTGTATCTACCATTCCTGCAAAGTCACCGTGGGCTTTTACTGTCAGCTGTTAGCTTCCCCCCATTTTGCCTGCCATCAGCAGCAATAAAGACCTGCAGGCCAAATGAGTCCCCCTGAGATGGCTGTGTAACACTCTGACTTATAATTGCCCTCTCATTGACACCCCTGCAGCTCCCTTAATGTCAGTGGTTTTCTGCCTGATCTTAGCAAATATTTCACTGAGGACATACAAAAGGTGTGGTAGCTTGCAGCTCTTTGCTGCCTTATTCTGTGAGGAAACAGTAGGGAAAACGAAGTAAGCTCTAGAAATCAGTTAAATTTTCATTCTCATGTAATGCATTTCATATTTGATGAATTCTGCAGAAATTCTTTCCATTGTTTAACAAGACTGAACTGCCTCTAACTATCTGAAAAATACATAAAAGCTTGATTTGTTTTCCCCCAGGGGCAGCTTTTGATCATGAACTGCATTTGGAAAGGCCCTACCCGACTGTGAAATGTACCTGAGGACCGGGAGGGCCAGCATGGTCTCACTGTGGGCTGGGTCCTACTCTGACCTGACAGAGAATGCTCCTCAGTTCTGTTCCACCCATTGCCAGGAGCTCCTGTGAGTTCCCTTTGGAGCTGAAGGCAAAGGCACCACTTGTCAGGCATGAAGTTAAGAATCAACCCCAAGGATCACATACCCATTCCACCGAGCACAGATGTGCTAGTGGCTTGGATTTTCAAATTAAAATTTCAAATCTACCATCCAAGATTGTTTGAGACAAAATGCTTATAAGTTTTGCCATCTGAGATTTGCTTGGGGACATTTTTTTCATAACATGGAATGTGCTTCCATTCACTTCTGAGTGCAGAAATAGTAAAACAAGGCGTAAATAATGTCAGACAACTCTAGAACACACTCAGTCATGGATGCAATTTTTTTTACACTCTTTGTTCTACTCCATTGGAACTCTTAAGCTGAATAAAATTGAAAGCTCCAGAAAAAAAAAATCTTACTGTTTTGTCATGTACCTGATTAGCTTGGTTAGAAACCAAAGGATTTCATAAATTTTCTTGTTTATTTTTGTATTTAGCATTCTATAGTAACCAATATTGTTGAACTGAACATATAATAAGTGTCTTCCAGATTTTGTCATACAGTTTTTCATACAGCATAATTTATAATTCTGAATGTCCTTCTGTCTTAGTGATTTCCTTTTATCCCCAGTGGCCATTTTCACTCTTGCTGTATCTATTGTGAGATGGCATATGCAACCTTTGGGCATGCAGGATATTAATCCATCTTTGATCACATTCCTCTGTGTATCCTCCCCACAGCTTCCTGATTTTCATCCAGATTGAACTCTGAAGCAATTCAACACCTTTATTTCTATTATTATGATTGGTTCACTTTAGTTGTAGTTGACAACATGAGGTCTAATACGGTTTTTTTAGTTCAGTGGTTTTTTTATTCTTTTAAACATTACTCCTGTACTTCAATACTGATTTCATAGAAGTTTCTTCTTCTGTTATTGCTTTCATTTTTATTTTCCTGAATCTCTGTCTGCTTCATGGAAGTAAATATCAGAACACACAGATGAGACACAGGTCTTCTAAACTTAATATGGGTATCAAAGAAGGAAAAGGTTTTTTCTGTCATCACCATCCTATCAATGCAGGGTTGCTTCTCCAAAGTTATCTTGCTCATGGCCCCTGCTCAAAAAGACATTCCGCAAGTAAGATCCTCCAGATATTATGACTAGTTTACACTAGTAAATATTAATTTTTTTGTTCTTGTATCTTAATAAAGATGACAACAGGACTACATGTGTTTTTTTTGCAGGATTGAACTGCTCTTTTTTTCAGGCATTTGTAGGAGTTTCTTTGCTGTGGCATACATAGGTTATGGAATTGTCCTTTGTCACTTTCTCCCATCCTTGAATGTGTTGTTTTGTCTGAGCTCACTCTACTTTGACTGCTTTCAGATTCTGTATCCCAAATGCCAGAGACAATTTACACACCAGAAGTTATCTGTAGCAATTTCACCCCAAAAATACATCTGAGTTAGGGGGGTGTCACGTACATTTGTCTTGGAGCTTAATTGGTATACCTCATAAAACCTGGTGGCTTGAATCTCTCTGCTTATGAGCCAGTGCGTCTGCATTTTCAGCCCACAGCTGTGCTACCCTCTGCACCCATCCTGTTGGGAATGCTCCTATGCCATTTGTTGCCCGTTGTTACTTTGAGGCTTTCGCCTTCTATTGAATTTGTGGCTTTCCCCAGCCCAAATTATTCTTCCCTCGTGGCATGCATTAACTTGCTTCTTAACAAGCTGAATCTCACTTTGGTATTCTCAGCCTGTATTTCTCTGAGCTGCTCTATATTACATTTCTTGATCCTGACATGTATAATGTCTCCCAATTTAGCATCATCTGCAAATTTAATTAATGTGGTTTTATTTTGCAATCTTCATGACTGTCAATAAAGGTGGTAAAGTAAATATTGGTCCTACTTTAGGTCTCTGTGGCTCTGCACTTCCCCCTTCACATCCATGCCTGATTCCCCTGCCCCTCAGACTCTCTGGGCTGCAGTGTCTGGCAGTACTCTCTCCTTTGTGGACTTCCACATAAATCTAGTCTGTATGTTAATTTGCTATATAACAGGTTCACCAAAATCCATATCTGTAATATAGACAGTACTTCAGACATCCAGAGGCTGAGGAAACATCACAGAATGGAGTGATGAGTTAAATCTGATAGGTCTGCTACCCAACTCTCATGCAATACTTGCATTAGATCATGGTAGTGCACTGCATGTCTTGAAACAAGTGTCAACCAAATTTTGACTTTGGATTGGTTTTGATAAGCATGTGGGATATTTTCCCCTCTACACATAGAAGGCAGTTTTTAGTGTGGATTCAAGTAGACCACATCATCTGTAAGGCTGTTACCTTAAGGGTAGCCCCCATCATCTGGACACTCATTCTTCCAGAACAGGCCTCTTGATATTGCTCCACAGCAAGGGGTGAACAGCCAGTAGGAATTCCTTGTTTGAGTGTGACTTTGCTGACATGGTTTGCTATCATGACTGAAAAGCCATCTCACTAAGCAACACAGAATCCAATCGTACATGGAAATTCAGTGGCAAAGTAAACTGGTTTTACAGAAATTGTCCTCAGAGGGTTCATAGGTGTTATAGCAGAAGATTGAAGGGGAAAATATTTTTTGGGTTTTTTTCCTTTTACGTAAGACATGTCTTTCAAAGAAGGCTTTATTCAAGATTAATAGGTACTTAGCAACTTTTTATCTCAACAAATATATACCAGATATTTAGGCCAATAACAGAAGGAAATGAGAGAATGAGTAATAAATATATGGTGATATAAGTTTTATCAGCAATGAGAGCTGCTTCTGGTCCAGTTACCAGTAGTAGAATCATACAATTTTAAAGCTGTGGAAAGCACAAAAGAAAGAAGAAATTGGGATGAAAGCCAGAAAAAAGGTGATCTAGAAGATGGGTCACTAGTTTACATCTTCCAGTTTTCTGCAAAGCCCCAGCCTATGCCCATGCCCTCTGCACATCACACAACCTCCTCTACAAAATAGATCAATGCCATAAAATCATGGAATCATGGATTGGAAAGGCCCTTGAGGATACCATCTAGTCCCAATCTCCGCCACCATAGGGGATGCCACCCACTAGATCAGGTTGCTCATAATCACAGACTAATTTGAGGCCTGCAGATAGCAGCATGATCAGGCAGTAGTTTTAGCTTGAAGCTATCTGCTAGGTCTTCCAAAGGCAAACATAGTTCAAGTACTTAGTAACTAATGTCTTCCCTTTCCTAGTAAGTGAAATTTTAAGAAAGGCAATTTACTCAGAGATTACATTCAATTATGCACAGGTGAATTTCTAGGTACTACCCCCAAAATAATCAGTCCCCAGTCACCCTCTAACTGTGGTGCAGACTTTTGCATCAACAAAGTACTCACGACTAGTAGAAAGTATAAAAAGCCTGAGGAATTTTATGCCTGTGTAGCTCTTCGACTTTCCTACCTATTATTCTGTTATGAAAAATAGATTAAACCTCAGCAGCATATTTCAGTCTCTAGCCATTTTTGTGCCTGGTTATTTTTAAAACATCTTTTTCTATTTTGCTTTCTTTCCCTCCTTTTTTTTTTTTCATTGACATATTTATAAATGTTCTTTTCTTTTCCTCTATACCTGTAGCTGGCATTTACCTCAACTTTTTTTGTTCTCAGCTGCGGCTGAATATTCTTGCTTCATTGCCTCCTTCCTTCTTCATTTCCAGTTGACAGCATCATTGTAAAGAGCTAAAAAGAAAATTGGAAATGCAGCTTACTTCACAACTATGCACTAAGTGCCCCAGCTATGCAGTCTCACAGAGAAGCTCACAATGAGATCATGCTGCACCACAGACAGGTCTTTTCTCTGCAGATCTCAACATATCTTGCAGGAGCAGCTGGTGTTTAGCATTGCTGTTTTGTTGCTGTGCAAAGTGGCCTTGAGCAGATTGATACAGGACAAGATTCACTCTATCACATATACATTTTAAATCTTATTTCTTATTCATCCCTACTTATCATCCTGAGGTAAGTCCTGATCCTTTCCCATCAAACATGTAATGCTTTTTCCAACTAGGTGAGTTGAGAATGACTTCTGGAGGATGGACCTCAGAGTGGGTTGCAGGTATTTGTCATAGAACTGTGTCCTGTTTCCACAGGTCTGTGCATGGGAAACTGCAAATCTACGAGTGTGCCTGATGGTAGTGAGGTATAAATCATCACAAAACTGTCTGCTGCTTTAATGTCCTGCTTCAATTTTGGGAGTATTTCTGGAGGAGGAGGCAGAAAGTGAGTAAATAACAGAAGGAATGACTTCATTTTTGCCTGATCTGTAAGGTCTGTATCTTTCTGAGCAGTGAGAGTTATTTTTAGTGATTTGCATCACTGGCTCTTGGCAGCCATGGCAACTAAAATCCTCTTCTACCCAGCAAAAACAGGGAAAGGAGAGAAGACAACTTCACTCTTACCCTGCCCTCACTTTCCTGGTTTCTGTCCTCCCCAGTGCAACAGGTTTAAGTTTTCCATTTTGAGCCTAACACATTTACCCTTATATCTCCTGCTTCACCATAACCTGGAGGAATGAACTCTGGCAGTGAGGTTTCCCAGTTCTATACTTTTTTGTGTTTGCTGTGTTGCCAGCTCAGTCTTGGATTAGCATTTCAATGAGATGTACACAGCACCATGAGGTGAAACCACAGCCTGTCCTATGGCAAGTGCCAAGCCCAGACTTCTACTTACTCATCCAGAAACCATGGCTTCTTCTCAGTGATAAAGTTTCTAGGTTTGAAAACAAAGGCTTTTTGCCATAAAGTACTTCCTTTTAAAAAGCAGAAAACTAGATGCATGTGAATGGAATGTGCTTTGGTATTTCCTAGCAGAAGTGGGAAGAATGAAGAAATTCTTCTGTATTTTTTTCCACTTCTGTATGTGTAAGTCTGCCACCCACTGCCTGTCAACACTTCCTCACAAGCTGCCAAACAACTTGTCCAAACAGGACAAGGTAACATTCTTCAGTCTCTATTGACTTGGAAGGATCATATCTAACAGACTTGAAGTGAGATTCCTTGTCATATTACCAGTACCCTCCCCCAGTGTAATAATTACCAGACTCAGTTCATTTATAAACCTCTCAAACATTGTCTGTTATCTGTGAATGTCTTTCTATGAATGATTGTTTTTCCTGTATGAAAACGGAACATTTCATACATGGATGGAACAAGCATCTTGATGCTTTGAGAGGCTGCCCAGAACAGAGGCTAGGCAGTGCTAAAGGAATAAAGGAGGTGTTTATTAAAAGGCCTCCAAAGGACACACCTTGGGCAGTACCAGAGCCTGGCTGTGGCTGCACCCAAGATGGGTGCTGGGTCACACCTTTTCACACTTTTATAAGTTTTGGTCCATTTACAAATTGGAGTTAGTAGTCCAATTACAGCTTCAGGTTATGCAGTCCCATCCTCCCAGATAGCTCTCCACAATTCACTGTTTACACTTTTTGGGCCTGAAGCTGCAATGATGTCTTTTGTTCTTGGGCTGGAAAAGGGTTGTTTTGTCTGACTAAACTGTGAAGAGAACTTGCTAGGACTTTGTATGAAGTTCGGAGTTGTGTACTAATGCAGTACAGAATCTGGAAAATATGAAAGCTAAAAGTTAAGCCATCAATCTTTGCAAAAAGCTTTCTTAAAAAGGACAGCTAGAGAAGGAATTGGAGAAAGGAGACGGTAATTGAGAACAAATGTAGTGGTTTGCAACAGTTTGAACCTGTAAGATCTGTGTTACTAATGCATCTTTAGGAAGAAGCAAAGCATCAAAACCTGGACACAGTAAAGTTGTGGGTTTCCTGGCAGACATTACCTGGGCTTCTGAGGAATCACAAAAAGGGCCTGTGGAGATATTTGTATTGTTTGTGTTCATTGCCAATTCTGTCTCCAAAGATCAAATATACTGGTTCATTCATGCTTTTATTTTCAGGGATAGTATACTCATAATGCACACAGGCATTGCTTTGAGGGGCAGATGGTACCAATTGATTGTATATTCATTATTTGTTGAAGAGATCTCATGCATTCTCACATTTTTGTGTGAAATCATCCCCTATGAGATGCTAAAGTGACTGAGATTATTTGACTGACTCCTCAGCAGAATCCCTCTCACAGTGGTGCTGGGCTGTGTTTGACAGCATTTCTACCCTCAGGAGCTGCCAGGCCCAACACAGGAGACTTCTATTGCTGAAACATTGTGGGATGGAGCCTCAATAGAGCACCTGCCCACCAGAAGATTTATTGTTCTTGACAATGCCAAATAATTGTCAAATCAGAATGGAGGCATTGTTATCTCTATAGAAACAGAAAATTGTTACAAAGACTTAACTTCTGTATGTATCTAGGCTAAAAATGGCCATTTATAAAGCCAGACTATAATTTAATGAGAATGAGAAAATGGAAATAGGAAAATATGAGAAAATCTGATAGTCTTTGGATTGATGCTATCTGCCTGCTCCTGGATCTGCTTTCTGGGCAGTGTTAGATCCTGTTAATCTTGTCTATAATACAAGAGGCCAAGATTTTGTCTGTACATTTTTTGATAACTTTGTTGATTCAAGGAAAGGGTTGACTGCTTAAAAAGCTGTATTTCCAGTAGAGGTTTAGAGATGGGAACTTGGGAGTGTCATAAAACAGATACCATTTCCTTCCTGGCTAGCCCGATAGGATCAAAGTTGGGAAATACTGTCTCCTGTGGGAAAGTGATCTCTGCTTTCCAGAGGGGTAAGAGGCTCTTTATGTCTTATCTTTCTTATCTGTCTTTCCTATCTCTAGCTATATTTGTATGAACATGATATAGGCCTGGGACCACTCTCATGAAATATACATTTTTGTGTCAACTTATTTCTCCAGAGTTATATGATTTAACCTTGTTGAGGAGATACCTGTAAAATAAATTCTAGTATTTTAATAGATACAGAGGGACAGAGCCTAAATATTAGGCTTACTCTGTGCACAGGCACAAAATAATGTTGCCTGGAGTAAACTATATCTCTTTGCCCCTCAGAAGCTCATCTGAGAGTAATTGTACATACCCAGCTAAATCAAAAGAGAGCCACAGTTTGATGCAAGAGATTGGATTAGAGCCTGTGACTGAAGCATTTCAGGCTTCCCTGATCAAGGCAAGCTATACAGCAGCCATCAGAAAAGAAAGAAGGCAGATGACAGAAGGCAAGACTGTCTATCAACATCACAGATACAATAATACAGGCAGGAGAGACCTTTTGCTGTGCACCTTGTGAATGAATTCCATGCAAGACTGTGTTATGCACTCATAGAAATGCTTCTATTTCAGTTGAATAGAAACAGCTCTTCCTACACCGGCATTAAAAAGGATCAAAATTTAAAGTTAAGACAGACCAAGCTTTTCAGAATATTTAAAATCATTAAAATACTTTATTCAAGCAATAATCTCTTTAGAATTGGTTATTACCACTATTAATGACTTGCTAGTTAAAATATTAATGGATCATAACTGAAAACTGCTGGCAATGTCTGATTTCAAGGGGTATTATCTCTTAATTAATGATATTTCACCTATCTGCAGTCAGTTTTGTAGGTATCTATTTTACTGTCTGTTGCAGGATACTAAAACCAGTTATTACAAATGAAGGAGAAATTACAAAGAGTGTGAAATAGGTGCTTATTTTCTTGGTGTTTTGCATTTTGTGGCCTGTCAGCTAGCTTGTATCTCAATTTACTTGTCTCTTATTAATGTATGGCTTCTTATTAGGCATTTTATGTGCTTTGAAATTTCATGTTGGAACTGCATACTGAAAAGCAACGCATGTTTTTGGGAGAGGTTAGTAGACAGAAATTTAAAATACTTATTTTAAATCAATGTTTTATAAATCACCTCTTTTTGACCATTTCTTTCACAATATTCCATTTTAACCAACTGTTTTGCCATATCCTGTTTAGGAGCCTTGTTTTACCATGGTTTACCTTGTTGAAACCATGGTTTTTTTAGCTTATAATTTGTACACCATATTGCTTCACAAAGGACCTAGAATTATAACTGGTGGAAATAAAGGAAGCTGAAAGGCTAGGAGACAGAAAGTGTGGAGGGTGTGATAAACATTTGATGTGATTGCTAAATATCCTCAGACTTCAATTTTGTCAGAGTTTCTGGGTGTCCATTGCTCTCTGTGCTTGCCGCTCTTTTGCTGAGGAATAGGACACAAAGCAACTTTTCTGTAACAGGCACTTTCAATACCAACGCCTAATTCCTTCTTGTCCCTGTACTGCCTCACACACTGAGTACAGGTGTGAGAAAACAGCTTCATACAGGATTTTTACCTAAGTACAAAATTAACTGTCTTTGCATTGTGTGGCTTGGATACCTTCAGTTCTTCTATGGCTATGGGTTTTTAGGAGCTGGTCCTATAAACCCTTACAAGATCAATCTTCTTGTCCTTAATGCTTCCAGGTCACAGCAGCAGAACTGTTCTGGGGAGTGAAAAGATGATCTCTCCCTTGATCATAAATCTGACTGTAAGCTCAAGCTTTTAGATATTCAGTAGTGCTTCCAGTGAGCCATATTCTTCTCTAAAAATTCATGGAATTATTGACAACTTTTCTAGTGTACTTCTGTTATTCATTCTTCTTTAATGGAATATTTCAGAAAATAGAAAATTTGAGTGTATGCACTTCACATTGAATAGTTCTGTAACTTTCCAGGTATTAAAGTTTTCTTTTTAAGTCAATTTTGATAAGCTCTGTGGAACAACTCTCCAGCCTGTCTTACTTCTAGTCCTAAATTGAGAAACTGAGAACCTTACTAAGAGCACAGGGAGGAATTCAGTTGACACACAGATGGTAAAACCTCAGATCAAATTAAAATTTAAAAAATATTTAAATCAAAGACAATCTTTCATTTTCTAAAAAGTAGGGTACTCATACCACAATAAGGTTGTTCCTTGAACTCTTGTGGGCTTTATTGCTTTCATTTAAGCAAATTTTGGGCTACCAAAAGATGATAATTTTAATTTGAAATGAAGGACTACCATCTGTGAATATAGTGGACTCCTTTCCCTTATGTATTATCTACGCAAATAACACCCATTTTATTGTTTGGGGAATGTGATGAAGATAATAAAAGTGAATAGAGACAGGTACTGATCAAACAGATGTTATTTTAGTCTGATTTCTTCTATCTGTCTCATCAGTGTTCATCAACACAGACATGCATCACTGCTAATATTTTAAGTCTGAGCTAGTCCTACTGGCTTGCATTGTGATTTACTGGGTGAAGACAAAGGACTAAATAGACAGAATCAAACTCCAGTGGTTTTCATTACAGATGTTAAGAGGTGAAAAGCAGGGCACTTTACTTTTGTCTCTTGTAACAATCAGCCTTCCATGGATCTCAGCCTTTAATTTTTTGTCTGAACAGATATTTTCAAATGAGTGAAGTGAGAGGAATGGCTTACAGGTATTGAGGAATGTTTTCACAAGCAACTCTGCTCTGGAAAACCAGTGTTATTGCACAGTCTATATCTGAACTTCTTCAGATACAGAATAAATTATCTCAATGTAAACTGTGTGGAATGTAGGCTAAAGCTGATTTTAATGCTAAACTAAACCAGTTTTGAATCCATTTCAGTGATATGGTTTAATTAACCAGACCACTTCTTCTAGCCCCATGTACTAAATGCAAATTAATGGCACTTGGAATATCCATTCTCTCAGTGTCTTGCCTGCTGTTTGCTGCCTGTGAATCCTATCTCGCATCCCACACCTTGCACTTGCACAGGTAGTGATTAACTACCTCCAGAAGTCATTTCCTCCTAAGTGGCTTCATAATATTTTTCTTCCATGGGAAGCAAATATGGTGAGTGAGCCAGCACAAAACCATTTTCAGAGGTGTCAGCACTACTGTGCCAGAGCATCGTTTCTAATATCTTGTGCTAAAATGTAGAACACAAAAGAAATATTACATTATTTACTTCATACTGTGTCACTTACCTAAGACCCCAGCTGAAGGGTCTGTTTGTATTAGAAATATGCTACTTGTACTAGAAAGTGATGATGGAAGTTTTATGCAGGCACAGAATGCAACTTTTTAAAAAATATGTCATCTAGATAAAAGCCTGAGAAATTACACAACTTTCCTGCAGGGAGCATGAGCAGCCAAACCATGTTGAGGCTATGATATGGACTTAGTCACTCTAGTATCCTCTTTAACCAAGAGGGAATGCCATTTAAAAGCTGGATTTTCTGCTTCATGAGATTCTCACATGTAAAACTTCTCTTGCCAGAAGGGAATAAATAAGAAATGGAACTGTTGAAAATCCTTTCAAGTCAAGTTCTGACAAAATCCAGTTTTCTCAGTTCTTACTTGAAGAGCTCTGTCAAAACGTCAGGTTGAGATGAAGCCCTGACAGGTCACTTTGGCAGAGGCTATAGAGAGACCTTTGAAAAGCTGTCTTTGTTTCCATGTGCTCTTAAGCTTTAGTATTCCTGGAGGCCCCCAGCAGGCAGTGCAGCTCTGTCAAACAGGTGCCTTATTCAATCTCTGTAACAAAGACTACTGCCCAAAAGGACCTCACACTAAAAGGCCAACGGGACATAGGAGGTGATGTGAAAAAATGCTGCTGTATGTACTGTGACTGAAATAAGACCTGTCTAGATGCTTTCTTCTACCAACAGCAGCAGGCAGAGACTCTAATATAAACACATGAGGCCTTGGCAGATCAAAAAATTGGCAAGATCACCAATGTGGGTGATCTGCAGACAGGCAGCTAAGTCAGGAATGCCACTGCATCACTACCTACAGCAGCAGGGCTCCAGGTTCCTACTAAAAGATACATCAACCTGGCAGCCTCATCAGTGCTAAGGGGAAACTGCTGTTTCCAGTACCATAAAAACAGGAGCTGCAGGTTCATATCCTATGCTTCACATCTGCTGTCAGATCTGAAACCTCAGAGGAGCTGGTGGAGAAACTGAACCTGATGGTAATTCACTACTGGAAACTCTGACCTACTGTAATTTGCCTTTCATAACACCTGGGCTTCTCAAATGGTGGTGCTGTATTGAAAAGTTAATATGCAACTGGTGAATTTTTCAGAAAATTTTGGTTGAAAGATAATAATGCTTTTTTTTGTCCTACTTTGCATCATTTTCCAGATGTGATCCTTGTGGAAAGACAATGTTTTGTCTCTACATTTGGAAGCTTCTTTCTTGAGTAAGTCACAAGCAGTCATCACTTGTATTGTTGAAATGTTTACATTAAGAGTTATTTAAACTGTCTGTTGCAAAGAAAACATGAGAGTGAACTTTAGACTCTCATTCAAACATGAGAATGAACCTTACATTTGAAAAACTGACCTCCTTTTGATTCATTCTACATCCTGGCCATGACCACCTGGGTGCTTCTCCTGCACTGTGGGTCCCAGGGCTGGCTGAAGTCCTTTGCAGAGGAGAACTCAACTGTTCCCTGTAAGGTTGCGGGTTTTCCCATATATCTGCCTTCAGACTGACCTTAACACCATGTGGGGGCAAGGATGGGGCAACTTTGTGAGAGCAGTTTGCTTCTTAATGCCAACTCCACCCATTGGGCAGCTGCTACAAGAAAGAATAGAGTTTAGATCATCAGAATTGCTAAAGAGGGTATAAATTGACTTCTAGGTGCTATACATATTTACCCATTGCACAGTGGATACACAGAATAATCCAAGGCTCATTGGCATCTGATGTTTTCCAAGGACTTACTGAATGGTTCACTTAAGCCAATATGGCATACTTATTATTATTATAACTAGTTAAAGTAACAATTAAGGTGGTATTTTATATCTTCTTAACATCTCTGATTTTCATTAAATAAAAGAAAACCAAAACAGCCAGTGAAGACAAATCAAGCCATCTGAACAAGGTACATTTTATTAATTTTTTAATGTTTTTTTTTCTTGAATAGGAGGGTGGCTTAACTATCTGCTGGAAAGGCAGCCGTAAATCAGTTCACTTCACACCTTGCAGAAGAAGAGAAAAGATGTGTCTCTAGAAGGAAAAGCAATCAACAGAAGGCGTGGAGAAAAAGTATAAATCAAGATGGTTTATGTTTCCTTCCACCTTGTAGATTGCTTTTCCTTCTGTAACCTCCCTCCCTCCTTCTCCCCCTTTCTCTGTCCTTCAGTAAGAATTTAGCTTACCTCCACTACTTTCTCACAACATTTGAATGTGTTATAAAAGCAAAAGCATAGTTTATAGAATGTTCTGAGTGTTGTGCTAAGTCTCTTCATTCTGGACAGGGAAATGCCCATTTCAGGGGAAATTTTTGATCAATAATAACTCACATTGAAATGATGCTTTGCTACTGGTCTACATACCAGTAGCAAAGAGAGCTAGATGATCTTTGTTTCTAAAGTGCCTGAATCCCAGCGAGGTGGATGTACTGTGTGTGAGTGCAAGACCACACTGATGGTGTCTTCTGAAGAACTTTGTAGACTTTGTCATGGATGGGATCCTAGTCTAAGCAATAACAAGTGAAAGATTGCATTGCAGATTATAACTGCTAATACGACTTCTCATGGGACTGGGACAAAAAGTGAGGTCCTACACAAGGACAGCTTCTATTTTCTTGGGCTGTATGTTCAATTTGTGTCCATTTGGATTAGTGTAAAATCTTCATCCTTTTACAAAGTGTTGAAAAACCTGTTTTGAAGAGAATTGTCACAGAGATTGTATTCTTTCCTTTTTTGCAATCTTCATTTGAAAAGATAATCTTAGTAGGGTTCCAAGTCTTAGTTCTGTCTCTGATTTTTTAACAATGCATGACAGCCGCAATCCTTATGTCTAGTAAACAATTTCATTTAAATTTTGAGGAGAGAAATTGTCAAACCACCACAGAAATGCAACATTCATGCATCTTCCTTGGTGGCAAACTATAATAAAAAACTTTTGCTCTGTCTTCATAATCCTCTTACATAAAGTAGTGTATGATAGTTCCACCCAGCTATATGTTATTGGCCAGAAATACATGTTGGTGATGCTGTGAGGAGGGATTTGGGCTGCATTAGAGCGCAAAGTTAAGGCCCACAGTGATGGATGAACTTGTGCCAGTACATCTGATAAAAACACGAGATTTGTTTCAGAGGGGTGAGTGCAGTCAATGAAAATAAAAAATGCAGGCTGTGGAAATTTAGAAAGAGGATGTCAGTCAGACTTCTGGTTTCCTGAAAATCATGATTAGGTTTGCCTTGCTCAAATGTGCAATCTACAAATACCTGATAAAATTTTATAAACTTGCAGGTACCACCCAAACAGATACAATACGTTGGATGATAAAGTCTGAAAAGGGAATCCAAACTTCCCAAAGAATGTTTTGTTCTTTAATTCATATAACAGCTTCACTTTTCAGTCCTGTTTATTGAGAACATATTTCACAAAGCTGCTTAGGTGATATCAGGGTTTTATGTTGAAATGTGAACATAGCTGCTGTACGGTGGCCTGATTTACTGAACGTCCATGAAGACAAGCAAAAACAACATCACATTTCATAGATTTTTTTCATGGATTTTTTTTCCTGTGAGGTAATAAAATGATATACAGTGAAGCCAGACACAGGATTGCAGAGTTTTGTCCTTTGTTATAAAGCCTAAAGAGTTCTTTTACTCCAGGGTGAAGATTTCTAGGTGGCTGATGATATTGGTGCAGAATGATGTATTAATCTTTGCTCTTAGAATAGATTTCAAGAGCTCCATCTTGGGAAAATCTGTTAGCTGGTGGTTATCAGTGACAATTGTTTGTGTTTCCTCCAGGGCTTGGCTTTTGGCATTGTCATCCTAATCATGTGGGTTAAATCTCTGAATTTATAGAAACCAATTTGTGCACTTGTGCCCTATTTTATCTTTTCTTCAAGTTCTTAAAACATTTCCAAAAAAGGCTGAATTTAACTTAGAGGGAGGCAAGTGTTTCTATTCTTATTTACACATGGACTAATTAGGACATGAATAGGTTTCTTGATGTATGTTAGGATGGCAGAAGAAGTTTTGACAGAAATAGGGAAAGATTGCAGATAAACAGGAAGAGAACAGTTTCCAAGTTACAGACACCTGAAATACTCATTTCTTTGGCTTTCTCTTGCAGAAAAGAGCAATATGTTTTAGAGAAAATATGGAGGAATACATCACAAATGTATTTTTTCCATTTGGCACCCATAACACCCATATGGTTCAATTGATTTTTTAACTTTTTAAAATTTATATTGAAAAAATAAGTTACACTAGATGATAGTACATATTTCCATTATGTATTTAATTGTTAAAAAGTTTCATGATTGTGTGGATTTTTATAAAAATATTTAACCCTTTCTATCACAAGAACTTATGCAGCTAAGTACAGAGAAAGAGACACCAGACAGCAAAGGAATATTTTATTTTATTTTTGCTTTATATGCTTTCAGAGATAAGAAATAAATTACAGCAAAGTTAACAAAGACCAAGACCCTTTGACATTTGACACAAGAGCCTTTTCTCTTTAATTTGGCATCCTAATAATGCTTGGAATCCCTCCATTCAAGCAAGTCGGTGGAAGATGCTTTATTCTGTCTCTTGTTTCTCCTCTGGGGCTGTACATTAGGTTAAAGTATCACAAATAGCTGCTATTAAAGTGTGAGGCACAGTAGCTATAATTTTTCATGACAGCCAAAGAAAATGTGACATGTTTAGGAAACTGTGTCACTGATGCTAACACTCAAGTCTTTAGGCAAATGTTTAATGACATACTCAACATACAGTGCAAACTCGGCTATTTACCAAACCAAAGGTTACTACCAGAGAACTATAAATATTCAGAAATGTCACTAAACAATAAGAGTTATTTTCTTCCTGATCACCGAAGGCAATGTAGAAATTGGACTAATATGTGAACTGGGGGGAAAAAAAGAGGCTTTTTACATATAAAATTATTTTAGTTTGGCTGCTGTAAATACTCTGCTTTAGCATATCTACCGTCTGTGGAGATGTGCAGAAGCATGGCTTTCCTATTTTGATTTGATTCAAGAAGTTTTCTGGCATTGAGCATCCAGTTCAACTTTTTATTCTACTCTAAAGGGAAGTAGGAGGTAACTAACACGTATGAATACACCCTCTGAGACTGCAGGGCACAAAGCAAGAAGTCCTTTCTGCGAGCAGGGCAGTGCTACCCATAACATGCCTGTGAGATTTCATGGGCTCGTGGCTCATCATCACTTACCTTAAACTAGAGGCTACGTAGCCATTCAATCCTTATGATTGCTGTTAGAAATGGGGCCATTTTAGGAGTACCCAAATCACAAATAGTGCATTGGGAAGACCTTTGACTTACACAAGTAGTGCAAAGTGCTACATTTTGATCTAAATTGATAAGACATATTTAATACTCCAATGTAAGCTTATGGTCATTTAAAGTCACTTGGGAATATCAGCAGTGTGAAGGAGATTATTATTCTGTTTCATCCACAAAGACCAGCAAGGCTGTGAACAGTAGAAGTTTAGAATACACCTGGCCAGGGAGCTGGGCTATAATGCTGCAAATGGCTGTCTAAAATACCCACTTGGCTTCCCTCTATTTCCTGTGGGGTGCAATTGATTTTGCCTTTCACTGGAGAGTGAGAGTGTCTGGTGAGGAAGCAGACATGGGCTTTCAAACTGTTGAAATGTATGATGGATCTTAATCATGGTATTATGACAGGTTAAGGGTTTAAGCCTGCACAGCTTGGAGATGATGAAGCTGCCTGGGGATTGCAACTCTCTGCAGTGTATTAGCACCTAAATCAGGGTTATGAGATTTTGGACCAGGAGAAAACTGAACAGAAAAAAGCAAGAGCAGAATGCCTTGCAGATTAAAGCAAAGGAAACAGTTTCCTACTGTGACCATGGTCACAGGGGTTCTTGAATGAGGGAAGAGACGAGAATGTTGACTCCATGATCAGAAGGCTTGATTTATTATTTTATGATAAATATATATTACATTATAACTTTACTGAAAAGAAATAAAAAGGAAAAGGTTCCTCAGAAGGCTAAGCTAAGCTAAGAATAGACTAGACAAGAATGATAATAAAGGCACATCCGTCTTGATTGGCCATTAATTATAAACATTCAAGATGGCCCAATCAAAGATCCACCTGTTGCATTCCACAGCAGCAGATTACCATTGTTTACATTCTTTTTCTGGGGCCTTAGCTTCCCAGAAGGGAAAATCCTAAAT